CATGGGTTTGAGTAAACTCCGGGAGTTGGTGATGGACAGGGAGGCCTGACGTGCTGCAGTTCATGGGGTTGCAAAGAGTCAGACACGACTGAGCGACTGAACTGAGTTAAAAGAAAAAGATATCAAATTAGGTTTTTTAAAAAACTCAACTGTATTTTGTTTATAAGAGACCCACCTAAAATATGAAGATTAAGAGATGTTGAAAGAAAAATGAAAAAAAAAAACAAAACCAAAACTGCGAACTGTAGCCAAAAGCAAGATTGTGTAGTGTCAGAGAAAACACAGTTGAAAGCAACAATTAGTTCTGGAGATGGTGTCATTTCACTTAATACAGTTGGCAGCTGGCTCCTTTAACAAAGCAGTCGGTAAGTTTAAGCAAATTCATGTCTTGCATGAAGTTCAGTACACATAGTCCTGGTTGGCAGATGTTTTTTCGATAGTCGTTTGGGGATTCAGCTGCTTTCCCCCGTCTCTGCCATCTCCTGAGGCCCGGGATACTCTGCAGGCGCCTCTGTGTGGGGTGGAAGGAGTGAATCACACAGATGTTCATTACACCTGGGCTGGAGGGCAGTGTACATTAGGATTGCATCCCGTTAGGCGGAGCCCAGGTCATAAACCAGACTTCACTACAGGGGAGGCTGTGCCCAGGAGGTAGAAGAAATAAATCTGGTCAACATGTAGTCTCTGCCGCAGTTTGTAATGATAAAAGGTTCAATTCAAAGGGAAGTCATGATAATTCTAAATGTGGACAAGCCATAATATGACTTCACAATATCCAAAGTAGAGATTGTCATAAGTACAGGAGGGAAAAAAATAGACAAATCTACAGTTACAGTAGAGATTTCAGCACTTTTCAGTAATGGATAGAATAAGCAGGCCAAAAAAAAAAAAATCCTGTAAGCACAGATGTTTTATGTAGGATCAATACCCTTGGTCTAATGTACATATAAGTAACACTCCATCCAAAACTGCACTGTATACAAGGGGTTAGCTCTGGTAGGCTCAGAGTGCCTGAGGCAGTGACCAAAATCATGCCCAAGAAAAAGAAACGTAAGAAGGTGAAATGGTTGTCTAAAGAGGTCTTACAAATAGCTGAGAAAAGAAGAGAAGCAAAAGGCAAAGGAGAAAGGGAAAGACATACCCATCTGAATGCAGAGTTCTCAGAGAATAGCAAAGAGAGATAAGAAAACCTTCCTACGTGAACAATGCAAAGAAATAGAGGAAAACAATAGAATGGGAAAGACTAGAGATCTCTTTAAGAAATTTAGAGATACCAAGGGAACATTTCATGCAAAGATGGGCACAGTAAAGGACAGAAACAGTAAGGGCCTAACAGAAGCAGAAGAGATTAATAAGAGGTGGCAAGAATACACAGAAGAACTTACAAAAAAGATCTTTATGACGCAGATAACCACGATGGTGTGATCACTCACCTAGAGCCAGACATTCTGGAATGCGAAGACAAGTGGGCCTTAGGAAGCATTACTGTGAACAAAGCTAGTGGAGGTGATGGAATTCCAGCTGAGCTGTTTCAAATCCTAAAAGATGATGCTGTGAAAGTGTAGCACTCAGTATGCCAGCAAATTTGGAAGACTCATCAGTGGCCACAGGACTGGAAAAGATCAGTTTTCATTCCAATCCCAAAGGAGGACAATGCCAAAGAATGTTCAAACTCCTGCACAATTGCGCTCATTTCACATGCAAATAAGGTAATGTTCAAAATCCTTCAAGCTATTCTTCAGCAGTACATGAACCGAGAACTTCCAGATGTGCAAGCTGGATTTAGAAAAGGCAGAGGAACCAGAGATCAAATTGCCAGCATCCGTTGGACCATAGAAAAAGGAAAGGAATTCCAGAAAAACATCTACTTCTGCTTCATTGACTCTGCTGAAGCCTTTGACTGTGCGGATCACAACAAACTGTGGAGAATTCTTCAAGAGGTGGGAATACCAGACCACTTTACCTGCCTCCTAAGAAACTTGTATGCAGGACAAGAAGCAACAGTTAGAACTGGACGTGGAACAATGGACTGGTTCCAGATTGGGAAAGGAGTACGTCAAGGCTGTGTATTGTCACACCATGCAGAGTGAATGAACCACAAGCTAGAATCAAAATTACTGGGAGAAATATCAACAGTGTCATATAGCAGATGATAACAACTCTAAAGAGCCTCTTGAAGAAAGTGAAAGAGGAGAGTGAAAAATTAGGCTTAAAACTTAACATTCAGTAAATTAAGATCATGGCATCTGGTCCCATCACTTCATGGCAAATAGATGTGAAAAAAGTGGAAGCAGTGCCAGATTTTATTTTCTTGGGCTCCAGAATCACAGGGACAGTGACTATAGCCATGAAATTAAAAGAAGCTTGCTCCTTGGAAGAAAAGCTATGAAAACCTAGATAACATGTTAAAAAGCACAGACATTACTTTGCTGCCAAAGCACCATATAGTCAAACTGTGGTTTTTCCAATAGCCATGTATGGATGTGAGTGTTGGACCTTAGGAAAGCTGAGTGCCAAAGAATTGATGCTTTTGAACTGTGATGTTGGATAAGACTCTCGAGAGTCCCTTGGGCTCCAAGAAGATCAAACCAGTCAGTCCTAAAGGAAATCAATCCTGAATATTCATTGGAAGGACAGATGCTGAAGCTGAAGCTCCAGTACTTTGGCCACATAACGTGAAGAGCCAACTTACTGGAAAAGACCTAATCCTGGGAAAGATTGAGGGCAGGAAAAGAAGGGGATGACAGAGTATGAGATGGTTGGATGGCATCATCAACTCAGTGAACATGAGTTTGAGCAAATTCTGGGAGATGGTGAAGGACAGGGAAGCCTGGCGTGCTGTAGTTCATGGGATCTCAAAGAGCTGGACCTGTCTTAGTAAGTGAACAACAAACAGCAGCAGTTATAGTAGAGATTTCAATGCATGTCTCACTAATTGATAGATTTAGAAGAAACTCTGTAAGCACAGATCAATAGGATCAATACCCTTGGTCTAATGTACACATAAATAATATTCTATCCAAAACCTGCATCATATACTTTATTTTCAGGCACACATAGACATTTATAAAAATTGCCCTAGACTGGGAGCCTTTCTGGTGGTCTCGAGGCTAAGACTCTGAGCTCCCAGTGCAGTGTCGCTGATGTAGTTCAGTCGCTCAGTTGTGTCTGACTCTTTGAGACCCTATGGACTGCAGCATGCCAGGCCTCCCTGTCCTCCACTGTCTCCCGCAGTTTGTTCAAATTCATGTCCATTGAGTCATTGATGCTATCTAACCATCTCTTCCTCTGCCCGCCGCCTTCTCCTTTTGCCTTCAGTCTTTCCCAGCATCAGGGTCTTTTTCAGTGAGTCAGCTCTTTGCATCAGGTGACCAAAGTGTTGGAGCTTCAGCAACAGTCATGATTTGAAATAGCATCATGCCAATAAACTTGAAAATTAGATGAGATAAACAAATTCCTTGGAAAATGTAAGTTTCTAAAAGTAGCTACAGAAGAAATTTCTGTAACCACTAAAAAAATAGAATCAGTAATTAAGATTTTTAGGCACAGATGGCTTCATTGTTAAATTCCACCAGACTTTCAAAGAAGAAATAATTCCAGTTCTACCCAAATACTTTCTCAGAATAAACCAGGGAACACTTCCTAGTTTATTTTATGAGGTTATCATAACTTTGTTACTAAAATCCAGCAGGGATGGTATGACTAGTGTGTTCGTAGCAGACAAGGACAAATACTTTACAGCTATTGATTTTTCATTCTCTTGCCAAAGAAACATTCAGAGTTAACTTGCCTTTTGGCGAGAACTATAGTTTGAGTGATAAATCATTTTGATTTATAAAATGTGATTGAAAAAATATTAAGGTTGTGTGTGTATGTACACATGTTGCCTTAATTGACCTGTGTGGCTTACTGAGTAGATTAAAACCCATGTTTTATAATGACTGATCATATCAGTGCGGGCTCTTTTGGATGTAACTGGACCTTAGCTGTTAACAGCAAAGGGGGATTTATTGGTCACCTAATTAAGAAACCTCAGGCAGGGCTGGCTGCAGCTGGGTCAGTTTCCCTGGTATCTGCCTCAGAGAGCCTCTTGACGCCCATGTGCTCATGTTCAAGTTCTTTAGGAAAGAGGGAGAACCTCTCTAAGTCCCAGAGGAGGAAGAAAAGACTTGATTCATTTTGACTCGGGTTTTGTGTGCTCACAGAGATGAACCAACTCTGGCCAGGAATAGGGTGCGCTTACTGGCCAGACACACACACACACACCCATCCCTTTGTGCCACACACACACACACACCCACACCCATACCCATCCCTTTGTGCCTGGGGGTTGTAACCAGTATCTCTGGAAGCTGCTGGACTGAGAGCGTGGGGTCTCAGCTGGTCAGAAATTGGAGCGCAGTAACACCTGGAAAAGTGCACGAGTGTTTGGTTTCAAAATTATATCTCCCAGCAGTTGTCAGATGTAAAATCTCATATGAGTTTTCCTTCAAAATAATTATGAAATTCTACATAATAAAGAATTCTTAAGACCCCAGGATGGAGCCATCCAGTTACCAAGAATTAACGAGTCTGACAAGTTTTGAAAACCTTGAGCAATGGAAACTCTCATACCCTTCTTGCGGTAGTGTAGATGACTGCAACTGCTGTGGGAAGTACTTTGTTTAGCTTTATGTAGTGCAGTTGAATACACACTTAACCTCACAGTCTAGCAGTCACTCTTGCATATATATATGCGCTAGATGTATATATATGCCCAAATGCTTAAGAAATCTGTGCCAGAAAGATCTTAGGAGTACTTGTGTTGGCTCCAAAGCAGAAACCGAATGGGTAAGTAAACGATGGTATGTTGCACGGTGGAATAATACACAGCAGTGAAAGTAAACAGCAGGGCCAGCAACAACAATGGAGCAAAAACAAAACAAGACAAAAGGATATACACGATGTGATCATGTTTATGTAAAATTCAGGAGCTGGCAAAAATAAACGGTCAGAGCACCATGCCTCGGGGCAAGCTAAAGAAAAGCACAGGAATGATAACAGTGAGTTAGAGTGATACTTACAGGTGAAGGGAAGGGTTGGGGTCAGAGAAAGGCACCCAGCTTTTTGGGGATTCCAATAGTGCCCCATTCTGTGGCCTGGGTGGTAGTTGGACTTTTGTTTGTGTAATAACCTTATGAAACTGTACATACATGTTTCCTGTGCTTTACTATATATATAATATTTCATGATAAACGTGATTTTTTAAAATAAGGTATCTGAAGTTATCCAGCCTTTGTAATTTATGTTCACCTCAAAAAATGGAGAAAATCCAAAGCATATATTTATATAGAATGGTTAAAAATGTTTCCTTCTTAAGCTTCTTAAACTTTATCATGTTTTAGAAATTTCCATTTTTGAAATTCTGTTTTTTAAAAGCTTTAAAAAATTTTCCACATGTGAGTTAACCACATGTCATTCTTACTTCCCAGGTGAGGGACTCCACTACATTATCTGAAGAAGGATAAAGTTGACTCTGCTTTGCTTCTTTCTTTATTGAAGTCTCTTCCTGCCTGGTCAAGCTCAGATATATCCTCTTGCAGCACACGACACACAGGTATGTCACTGGAAATTTCCATTTGTGTAGGTTTTTCTTCTCCAGCTGTTCCCGGTGTGCCTTTGCATGACAGTGAAGTAATTAAATTCAGAAACTTCCTGAGCTTACTCATTTTCGGCGTTAGCAGGTGTATCTGAGTGTCTTCTGGATACGTGGCAGCGTATTTGGGTGTGTGCCTCTGACTTCTTTTCTTTTAAACCAGCATTAAGCTCTGTAGGTCACAGACATGGTCCCTGATGGCTCAGCGGTGGTTGCTGAGATTGGAAACCGGGGTTGGCGGCGTGCCCCTGCGCCTCTCCCGGGAGGGTGCCGCTGCAGGAGAGGCGCTGCGCGTGGAGGCCTGCCCAGCCGAGTGTTGCATCTTTGATACAGAAACTGCATACTCCTTCACCGCCTTTCCCTGGGAGTTTGAAAGGAAACAAAACACCTTGTGTCTTAATCTCTTAATTTATGATTGAGTGGCATTTTATTCTTGAAATTAAGAACTCCTTCATATGTTAGAACGTTAACATGAATGTAAAATAGGTTTGAAATGTTTGCATCCAAAGTGAGGTTTAAATACACAGCTATTTTTTATAACATTCAGAAGCATCAAGAAAACTGGTATTTAAAATTTTATTCATAATCACAGTACCATTCAGTTTTCCCCAATAGTCTCAGTTTTTTTTTGGTTTGAAACAGGGTCCAAACAATTACGTTTAGCTAATCTGCCTCCCAAGTCTCTGTCAATCAGCTGATTGCTCCACCCCATCCCTTTTCTTCCTGGCATTTTCTATGTCGTCGTTCTGTAGTCAGGGGTGTCCCTGTTTACATGGAACATGTTCTTCTGTCCTTTTATTTCCTGGGAGGTGGGAGGTGGATCTAGAGGTTTGAGCGGCTCAGCCTTTGAGCGCGTGCGCTTGGAGGTGGCGGTACGTGCGTCTGCTCTGGTCCTAGTGGCGTTCAGCACCTGGACTCATGGTCATTAGGGGTTGTAGATGATGATGGTAAAAGTCTCATCCTTTACTTTGCCTTGGTTCACTGAAATCCTATTTGGTTTCGCTAAGGGACAGTTCAGATAGAAGCAGTAGGACGAATGCCTGATTCTTTCTCTTTATGGGTTCTCAAAACAATGAGACAGTCTCATAGCCACTTCACAAGTGACCAGGGAAGAAGTGTCAGTATAAATTCATGAATTTAAACGTACGTGACGTGTTTTAAAACACAGTAGTTATTCTAATAGATGCGAGGATTGTGCCACTTTTGCGGTGGAGCCTCTTCAAGTTGACTCCTTGTCCTTTGCTCTCTGAAATGGTAAGAGCTTGTTGATTCGTTGTGTACTTTTTCACCCCAGACCTGGAACTGGCTGTTTCTCTAAGCAGCTCTGGCTCCCTCCTGTAGAACATGGTGTCTTGAGACCACAACCTGTACACTCGGGATCGTTGTTGCTGCAGGGCTGGTTACTGTCCTGGACCTTTTTGGTGGATGGCCAAAGTATTTTCAGAAATCTAGCTCCCTTTCCTGAGCTTTATAGCCTGTTTCTTCTCTCTTCCACAGGTAATGTTTTTTTAATTGTTGGTTTATCTACTGTAATATGGGCTTCCCTTGTAGCTCAGTAGGTAAACAATCTTCCTGCAGTGCAGGAGACCTGAGTGCGATCCCTGGGTTGGGAAGATCCCCTGGAGAAGGAAATGGTAATCCACTCCAGCATTCTTGCCTGGAAAATCTCATGGACAGAGGAGCCTGGTGGGCTGCAGTCCATGGGGTCGTAGAGTCGGGCAAAACTGAGCGACGACTTAACACTTACTTACTGTAATATAAGTACTTGTGTGTGTCTGTGCCCACAGCCCTCTTTCTTAAAAAATAGTAGTGTATGGTACAAGCTTTTCTCCATATTTTTTGAAATTTAGCAGCATATCATGAGCTTGCAGCATAGCAAGATTCTCTTCACCCGTTTTAATGTATAGTATTCCATGTTGGTTATTAAATTATAGAAGAAGACTAACTTAAAAATATGTTGGCGTTATTCAGTATGTGTTTCTCCTGCATATAAACGTCATCCATGTGTCTAGCTGCAGATTTCCCAGTAATTTTGGGACCTGGCAAGTACGTTGCTAATCTTGGCCTGGTTTTCCTTATGGGTAAACTAAAAGACTTGGATTAGAAACTCAGGGTGAGTTATTTTAGCTGAAAGAGACTGCAGGTGAGGAAACTGTACCTAAGAGCATCTCATTGGCCACGGAGTGAGCACCCTATAACCAGGGTTGTGACGGTGCTGTGGAATTGGCAGGTATTGTTGAGTAAGTGATTGTGTGTCAGAATCAGGGAGGCAAGGGCAGGTCTGCCGTGGGAAGCTAGCCGGGTGACGGCGTCACTCCCCAAGATGAGAGCGGGTTGTCTCTGAGTAGGTTGAGGCCTGCTGAGCAGCCATGGCAAGCGCCGAAGACAGCAGATTCCGTCTGGGCTGCCCTGACCATGGGGCTCCCATGCAGCTGAGGGGGAGTGGCTTGTCCAGGAGCTCCGCGGTGGGGCTCGGAGCGGGGACTCGTCTGTGCGGGTCTGATCGCCCAGCAGGACAGAAGGGGCCTGGATCAGCACCTGAACAGCTCCCGCCCCTACACCACCGGTGGCAAAGGGGAGCTGGTGAAGGAGAGCTAAGAGCTACTGACTTTTGGCATCTCGTGCTGTATCCTCCGAGTGATTTAGATATTGTAATCCACTCCTGAATGGCGCCATGTTTTATGCTTTTCACTGATTTCCTAGTAAAGTCGGTGCTTCAAGAAAGTGTGCCTTCTCACAGCCTGCAGCCCCAGAGCCTCCAGGCTGGGCATGGCTCGGGGCAGCCTCTCCGGGAAAGGTGCTGCCTGCTCTGAGTCGCTGTCAGCGGACGGAGCCCTCAGCTCCTTCCTGTCCAGATGGCTGGGCTCTGGCCCTGGTCCAGGAGCAGCCAGAGTTGAATGAACCCTTGTTTCACGTCCTGAGTCATTTGAACCAAGTGGTATGGCAGTGCTAGGTCTCAGGCAGCTATTGTTTTCCTAAAGAATTTAAGACCAAGTTGCGTATTATGGTTTGATCAGGTTCCTTTCCAGCCGTCTGCCTGCGTCAGTCTCACTCCCTCCCTCTCTCCTGCGCTGGGCTTTTTCATGTGCGATGAGGAGCGGCCTGTTTGTTTGGGTGAGAGTCCAGGCCCCTGTGTGCTTCCCCAGTGAGTTAGCCACAGGCGGCCCTGAGCAGAGTGTCTGCGTCAGGTGTCCTGAGCAGTCAGCGTGCCGAAATGTCTGCATAGCTGTGGACTGCCAGAGTGCTTTCTTATCAACAGGGCACACCTGTCTGCCTGTGGCTTTCTCCCTTCCTTGGCCTCGCATGGATGCTGTTTTAATCTCCCTCCTGGGCTTGACATGGAGCTGGTTTTCCTGCATCTCTGTTGTTTAGCACTTTCTTGCTGGCAGGAGCCATTTTCTTTGTTTATCTGATGCTTCCCTTTTTTGGTTTTCCCCGGGCTTTCCAGCCCTTGGAACACCCTTTTGTCAGCAGATGTGCGTTTGTTTCCAATTTCTAATCTCCCAAGTGTAGCTCAACTTAAACCACAAAAGCAAGGAACATAAAATAAATTATCAGCGTTACGGAGATGTCGAGCAAAGTGAAGAGAACCAGTCTGGCTCTTCACTGTGTTTCTGAGTACAGGTACACCTCAACTTGGCCAGCAAAGGTCCATATAGTCAAAGCTATGGTTTTCCCAGTGGTCATGTATAGATGTGAGAGTTGGATCGTAAGGGAAGCTGAGCGCTGAAGAATTGATCCTTTTGAACTATGGTTTTAGAGAAGACTCTTGAGAGTCCCTTGGACAGCAAGGAGATCAAACCAGTCAATCCTAAAGGAAATGAGTCATGAATAGTCACTGAAAGGACGGATGCCGAAGCTGAAACTCCAATACTTTGGCCACCTGATGCGAAGAGCCGAATCATTGGAAAAGACCCTGATGCTGGGAAAGATTGAAGGCAGGAGGAGAAGACAACAACAGAGGATGAGATGGTTGGATGGCATCACCAACTCTATGGACATGAGTTTGAGCAAGCTCCAGGAGTTGGTGATGGACAGGGAAGCCTGGGGTGCTGCAGTCCATGGGGTTGCAAAGAGTCAGATAGGACTGAGCAATTGAACTGACTGAGTGATGCCGCAACTGAGTGAGGAGCTGGTTAGAAGCTAAAACTTTATGAAACCGATTTCTCAAATAGAGACTTTTTTCATTTGGATAAAAATATGGCCTCAAAATGCAGTAAGTTCATACCTAAACACATAGCAAGCAGTAAATAATATAGTAACAGAGCAGTAATTCTGCTCCGTTGGAAGCTGCAGCATCGGAATTCTGGCCCTGTGCACACCGGGCCCCGCATTCCCTGCCCACCTCCCCGCGGTGGGGGCCCAGGATGCCCACGCCCAGGCCGCTGCTTCCTGGGGCTCCGGTCCTGCCTCCTGTCGGGGTCCTCCGAGCGCACGGACGTGGGGGCCGCTCTCGAGCCCACACTTGCCTTCACGGTCGCTCCCACGCTGTCTCCACCTGGCATGTCTGCTGTTCCTGTTGGGCAGAACGTTCCTCTGTGTGTGGGAGCAGACATCCTCTTTCCAGACCTGACGCTGGGATGAGGCCGGGAAGGTGATGCGACGACCGGGCCCGGGGTCCCACCTCCCCGTGACCCCGTGTGCTCACTGGAGCCGTGTGCTTCCCATCTGGGGGTGTTGGGTCCCACCTCCCCATGACCCCGTGTGCTCACTGGAGCCGTGTGCTTCCCGTCTGGGGGTGTTGGGTCCCACCTCCCCGTGACCCCGTGTGCTCACTGGAACCGTGTGCTTCCCGTCTGGGGGTGTTGGGTCCCACCTCCCCGTGACCCCGTGTGCTCACTGGAACCGTGTGCTTCCCGTCTGGGGGTGTTGGGTCCCACCTCCCCGTGACCCCGTGTGCTCACTGGAGCCGTGTGCTTCCCGTCTGGGGGTGTTGGGTCCCACCTCCCCGTGACCCCGTGTGCTCACTGGAACCGTGTGCTTCCCGTCTGGGGGTGTTGGGTCCCACCTCCCCGTGACCCCGTGTGCTCACTGGAGCCGTGTGCTTCCCGTCTGGGGGTGTTGGGTCCCACCTCCCCGTGACCCCGTGTGCTCACTGGAGCCATGTGCTTCCCATCTGGGGGTTGCAGCCCCTGAGTCGCTCCCCCAGGTCGTGCTGCCACCACCAGTCTGCAGGTCCCTGAAAGCCGCCTCCACCATCTCTTTGAGGCCTTTGACTGAGTCTGCATCATTTTTCTTCATCAGCACAATCATTGTTTTAAGTGTAATTTTTGTTAACCTGTAATTGTCACATCTAAACTTTAGGATTAAGGGGAAATTTAACTATTTTATACCCACGTATAAGTAAGTGAAATAAAGGTATTTAAGTCAGGAACTCTAGTCAAAGGTTTCCACAAGTCCCCCATTTTAGAAGCTTCCAGAGATGGGTCTTTGCTTACTCACCAATGCTTCTGGTGGTCAGCCTCTGCATGGGGCACACGTGGGCTTCCTGGCCACCCCCAGGTGGATGTGAATGAACAGATATAGTTGTAGGTGAGAAATGACCATCACAGGTATTTTAGATAAAATTAGCAAGTTAATTTTGTATGTTCGGTTTAGAGAGTGATAGTTAGAACCAAGGAGCTTTCTTTAACAGTGGCTTTTAGTTCGGGGGTCTTTGAGCATAGTGTTAGCTCTTGCTGCTGCACTTACAGCAGGTGTTGTTCCAGCTGAAGATCAAGATGAGGTTCTGCTATTTTCTTTGCCAGGGTCGGTGTGGAGTGGTTATGAAGCTCAGTGATGAAGAAAGAAATCAGAGTGTCTAAGCTCTTTAGACTTCATACTTTTCATAAAAACTTTTTTTAAACAGTTTTTTATTATGGAAAATGTCATTTAAACCATTCAAAATGGACAGTTCAGTGGGTTTTATTTAGTATATTCACAGTGTTGTACAGCCATCATCACTGTCTGTTTCTAGAACATTTTCGTCCCAAGAAGAAACTCCCCTCGGTCTCTCTGTTACTCTCCTCTCGTCTCAGCCCCTGTCAACCACGACTCTACCCTCTGTCTCCGTGGATTTGCTTGTCCTGGACATTGCACACAAATGGAATCATGTGATATGTGGCCTTTTGCTCCTGGCTTCTGTTAATTTAGCATGACGCTTTCAACGTTTATCCATGCTGTATTATGTGTCGGCGCTTTATTTTTTTATGGCTAAATAATAGTGCATCATATAGGCATATATAAATTTTGTGTATCCAGTCATCTCTTGACAGACATTTGGACTGAATAGTTTTGTCTATTTTGAATATTGCTGCTATGAACATTCACGTGCAAGTCTTTGTGTAAACGTATGTTTTTCACTTCTTTTGGGTATATACATAAGAGTAGAATTGCTGGGTCATATGGTAACTCTGTTTAACTTTTTTTTTTTTTCATTTATTTTTATTAGTTGGAGGCTAATTACTTTACAATATTGTAGTGGGTTTTGTCATACATTGTCATGAATCAGCCATGGATTTACATGTATTCCCCATCCCAATCCCCCCTCCCACCTCCCTCTCTACCCGATCCCTCTGAGTCTTCCCAGTGCACCAGGCCCGAGCACTTGTCTCATGCATCCAACCTGGGCTGGTGGTCTGTTTCACTATAGATAATATACATGTTTTGATGCTGTTCTTTCGAAACATCCCACCCTCGCCTTCTCCCACAGAGTCCAAAAGTCTGTTCTGTACATCTGTGTCTCTTTTTCTGTTTTGCATATAGGGTTATCATTACCATCTTTCTAAATTCTATATATATGTGTTAGTATGCTGTAATGTTCTTTATCTTTCTGGCTTACTTCATTCTGTATAATAGGCTCCAGTTTCATCCATCTCATTACAACTGATTCAAATGAATTCTTTTTAATGGCTGAGTAATATTCCATGGTGTATAAAAATATGGAACGCTTCATGAATTTGCGTGTCATCCTTGCGCAGGGGCCATGCTAATCTTCTCTGTATCGTTCCAATTTTAGTATATGTGCTGCCGAAGCAAGCACTATGTTTAACTTTTTTGAGGAACTGCCAAATTGTTATCTACAGATGATGAACCATTTTATTATATTCAGCAATATATGAGGGTTCCAATTTCTTCATATTCCTCACCAACACTTGAAGTTTTCCTTTTTTTAAAAATTACAGCCACACTAATAGCTGTGAAGTAGTATCTCATGTTGGTTTGTTTTTTTAATGGTAGTTTTTAAAAATTGACATGAAATTAACAGAACGTAAAACTAACCATTTTAAAGTGAGCAATTCACTCGCATATAGTACATTCACAGGTTTTAACCACAACCTCCCTCTGGTCCCAGACATTCTCATTACTTCAGAAGGAAACCCTGAAGGCATTAAGCTGGTAATCCTCGTTGTCCTTCTCCTCATCTGCTAGGCAGCTACCAATCTGCTTTTCTGTCTCTGGATTTGCCTATTCTGTATGTTTCATATAAATGGAATCATGTAGTATGTGACCTTTTCTTTTTGACGTCTTGCACTTAGCATAATATTTTCCAGGTTCATCCACGTTGTGACCTGTATCATCATCACTTGATTTCTTTTTATGGCTAATATTTACACTCTCCACCCCCCATTTTGTTTATCTGTTCATCTGTTGATGCACATGTGGGTTGTTTCTGCCTTTTGAGTACTGTGAATGGTGCTACTATAAACATGTCTGTACATAAGTTGATTTGAGTACCTGTTTCAGTTGTTTGGGGGATACACCTAAGAATGCAATTGCTGGGTCATATTGGCAATTCTGTGTTTAACTTTTTGAGAAACTGAAAATGTTTTCCACAAAAAAACAATGCATTTTGTTTCCACCAGCAATATATGAGGGCATCAGTTTCTCTGCATTGTCAACAATGCTTGTTGTTTTACCTTTTAAAAAATCGTGGCCATCCTGGTGGGCTTGAAGTGATAGCTTGCTGTGGTTTTGGTTTATAATTCTCTAGTGACTCATGGTCAGAGAACGCACTGGCACCCCACTCCAGGACTCTTGCCTGGAGAATCCCAGGGACGGGGGAGCCTGGTAAGCTGCAGTCCACAGGGATGCTAAGAGTCCAGCACAACTGAGCGACTTCACTTTCACTTTTCACTTCATGCATTGGAGAAGGAAATGGCACCCCACTCCAGTGTTCTTGCCTGGAGAATCCCAGGGACGGGGGATCCTGGTGGGCTGCCGTCTATGGGGTCGCACAGAGTCAGACACGACTGAAGCGACTTAGCAGCAGCAGTGACTCATGGTGTTGAAGATCTTTCCATGTGCTTATTGGCTGTTTCTATGTTTTTCTTGGAGAAATGTTTGTTCACATCCTTTGCCCATTTTTTTAATTCAGTTGTTTGTCTTTTTGTTGTTGAGCTGTAAGAGTTCTTTGTATATTCTGAATATTAGACTCTTATACATGGTTTGCAGATTTAGTTCTTTGTTGTTTAGTCGCTAAGTCGTGTCTGACTGTTTGCAACCCCATGGACAGCAGTCCACCAGGCTTCCCTGTCCTTCACTCTCCCAGAGTTTGCTCATACTCAAGTCCATTGAGTCGGTGATGCCATCCAACCATCTCATCCTCTGTCGTCCCCTTCTCCTCCTGCCCTCAGTTGTCCCCAGCATCAGTGTCTTTTCCAGTGAGTTGACTCTTCGCATCAGGTGGCCAAAGTGTTGGATCTTCAGCTTCAGCATCAGTCCTTCCAATGAATAGTCAGCATTGATTTCCTTTAGGATGGACTGGTTTGATCTCCTTGCTGTCCAAGGGACTGTCACAAGTCTTCTATAGCACCACAGTTCAAAAGCATCTGTTCTTCAGCACTCAGCCTTCCTTAAGGTCCAACTCTCACATCTGTACATGAGTACTGGAAAAAACACAGCTTTGACCATATGGACCTTTGTCAGCAAAGTGATGTCTGTGCTTTTTAATGTGCTGTCTAGGTTTGTTATAGCTTTTCTTCTGAGGAGCAAGCATCTTTTAATTTCATGGCTGTAGTCCCCATCTTTAGTCATTTTGGAGCCCAAGGAAATAAATAACTTTCTTCCATTTTTTTTTTTGCATTTTTGGATTCTTGATAGTGTCCTTTTATATACAAAGTTTTCAAATTTTGTGAGGCCAGTTTATCTTATTTTTCTTCATTGCTTGTGCTTTTGGGGTCCTAAGAATCCTTTCCCAGATCCAGCATCATGAAAATCTGTCTCTCTGTTTTCTTCTAAACCTTATGGTGTTGCATGCATGCTAAGTCACTTCAGTCATGTCTGACTCTTTGCAACCGTATGGACTGTAGCCCAACAGGCTACTCTGTCCCTGGAATTCTCCAGGCAAGAATACTGGAGTGGGTTCCATGACCTCCTCCAGTAGACCTTCCTGACCCAGGGATCAAACCCACATCTCTTAGATCTCCTGCATTGGCAGGTGGGTTCTTTACCACTAGCGCCACCTGGGAAGCCCTTTACAGTGTTAGTTCTTATATTTTAGTTGTTCATCCATTTTAAGTTCGTTCGCATGTATGGAGTGAGGCAGGGGTCTAAGTTC